CCCCTTCGAGGCCCAAGATGTTGCCCGGGACTACCACCTGAGACGCCAAGGCAGTATCCCATTTGGTGGCATCCAAGAGCTTGGCAGGGACCTCCCCGAGGACAGCCGACTTAACCCTGATGTACGACATGATGTCGTCGTCCCCCACGCCCATGATCACGCTGTTGACCCCCGGCAGGCGCTCGGCGGACTCGGCGAAGCCGCTGGGGCAGGACGGAAGTGGAGACGAACCGAGAGCACACAAGCGAGCTTTTTCGGCCCCAGCCACTCGATACCTCCAGCGCTCACTGCACTGCCCGACGTCGCCGGCGGTAGCTCGATCAATGCGCCGATGACAGACGGCCAAAGCAAAAGGCGAGGCATCGCTGCAGTGCAAATCCGACGACCACTGAGCTCGCCAGTCGACGCGGCAGAGAGGTAGCAAACACCGAACACGCCAGAGCTCCTGTCTCACACGAGGCCACAACGCATGCTGGGAAGAGGAGACGAGGTACTTCTGTGCGAAGGCATAGCACTCGTCTAATAAACACAGCCCCTCGCAACGCAGAAGAGTAGACCACACAATGTGACCGGTCACGCACTGCATCATCTTGCCCGCGGCCTTCCCCCTGCGAAGCAATGATTCGATTCCCAAACGTAAGCGCCAGATATTCTTAGTTTTCAAACTCACGGTGTGCTCATCGGTCATCTGCAGCCCCAGAAAGCCCATGTCCCTCGACGCCTCCGAAACCTCGTGAACGACAAGTCCCTTGCCCTGGAGATCCGAGATGATAGCCCGATTCGCCTGGTTTGTGACGTCCTCACTCGCAGAGAACACGAAGAAATTATCGACGTAGGCGGCAGCCGCGACAGCGGTGGGTGACGAGAGCCTCGGTGGAACCTGGCCGTCCTCAATCACCTGGTGGTCCTGGATCCCGACGCCCCGGAGCGATTGCCTAACTACAGCCTGGCGCAGGTGCATGGCCCAGCTCCATCCCATTGGCAGGACAACAAGACAGGGTGAAACCGGTGTGCCAGGACTAAGCGGGACCCCGTCAATCTCGTGGACCCCAACAAGGTCGGAGGAAATAGAGGGGAGGCTAAAATACTCCTCGAGGCCATCGGGGACCCTCAGGTGATGAAGCGCACAGCTTAAATCCCCGGACGCCCCGAAGGCCCCCTCGGGACCAGTTTGAAAACCCGAGAAGGCCGACGGAGTGGGCAGGCGGGTCGAAGCCGCCTCTGCGAAATAGCAGTTGCAAACTCTAGTATCGAAGATGATGCGAAGCTGGCCGTTGCGCTCCGCGACAAAAAAATACTCCTAGGAGCCCGGGCCGGGGAGACACATGACGCCACGTGAGCATTCCACGCCGCTGAAGCTGAATCAGAAAGTCTCCGTACTGGGAGGGAGAGCGAAGGGCAGGGTCAACGTAGGGGCCGTTCGTGCAGATCGAACGGCGCTTGTCCTTTGCTACATCAGCCGGCAGAAGCAAATTATCACGCCATGACCTCGGCCAATCACGATCGGCCTGGGGCAAACACGACTCCACCGGGGTGGGGCTGGATCCGACCTCAGGCCAGGCCACGAGGTGGCGTGCATAAGGCTTTCGGGTGGAGCTATCTGGGAAGATGGCTGACCCGGCAAGAAGCTCGCGGAGGGCTTCCTTGCTATTCAAGTCTGCCGGCTGGGCGCCCACCTGCTTGAAACAGTCCAGGACGTGTTGGTGCGCGAAGCGCTGAGACGAATTGAGGGGGGGAGGAGCGAGGCCAGGAGGGCTGTGACAGGAGGCTTGTGGGAACCCATGCAGTTGGTTAAGGCAATTGATAGACGAGTCAGCCCAGTCCAACATGCGTGCACGGCGGCGCTCTCTCTGCTTGACTGCGCGGCAAGCGCGGCGAGGACAAAGGGCCCCGGTCTGTCTCGACAACAGAGGCAGCGGGAACAGGTCCCTCTGGCGGTCGGCTTTCTGCGGCGCCGCCGCCGAGGAAGAAAAAGGAGGAGGGGTCGAGCCGGCGCTACGCGGCTCTCCAGGCGGCCCAGGGCACCCCCTCCGATGCGCCTGGCCGAGCTCTGGGTCATGCATCATTGGTCTTCTTGCCCTGGCGGGCCGCTTCTCGTTCTTCTCTAGCTTAACGTCGTTCTTTGAGCAGGGCCTGCTCGCGAGAGAGCTCCTTGGCCACCCACTCGGTGAGCTCGGGGCACACGCGCACCCCGGCGCGTATCAGGTCCACGCCGTCGTACAGGTGAGCGTCCCCGATGGCGCCCTCCTTGTGCCCGCTCAGTCGCTCCCTCCAGCGCTCCTCCTGCACCTGAAGGGAGCGGGCCAGGTGTTCCGCAGTGGCGCAGTTGGGCAGGTTGATCTGGTCATGGCAGGCCATCGTCTCAAGCTGGCGGCAGCATCGCTCGTGCTCAGACACTCCTGCATCTTGCGACTGGAGCTTGGCGTCATGCTTCCAGCGCGCGTGGCGCCCGGTGGGGGATCCACCGTTCTGAACGATGTAGCGGCACACCCACATGCAGGAGCGAGGGCCCTTGATGGGCCAGTCCGGGAAGACGTCCTCCCGGAACCCGAGCACGGCCCTCTCAAAGGAAACCTTGCGCTCGCCCAGCAGGTCATACTGCGCCGGCACCACCCTCAGGCCGAAGTACACCCCTAGCCCGCCTGCGCCCACGCGCGGCGCCGCGGCGCCCAGAGCCCCGCCCGCAGCGGCTCCGGCGGCGGGGGCCGGGGCGGCTGCCGCCGCCGCCGCGCCGGCCGCAGCAGGGGCGCCCGCGCCTCCCACCAGGGCACCCACAGCGGCTGCGCCGGCGGCGTCCGCGCCGCCAGCGGCGGCGGGCCCAGCCGCGGCTGGGGCGGCAACCAGCGCCAGCGCTCCCGCGGGCACCGGCTGCGCTGCTCCGCCGAGGGCGGCGACGAGCCCGCCAAGCCCCGCTGCAGGGGCGAGGGCTCCGGCCCCGGCTCCAGCGCCAGCGGCGGGGGCGACCGGGGCGCCCGCAGCGGCTGCGGTCGCGGCGCCCGCCGGGCCCGCGCCCGCTCTCCTAGTGACATTGGGGAGGAGCTGGCCTGGCGGCGCGGCGACCCCGTGCCTAGCGCAGGCAGCGGCCCGAGCAGCAGTGGTAGAGGCGACTGTCGGAATGGCCCGAAAATTGTACATGGGATCGGCCCCGACACCAGCCGGCGTGCCGCCTGCTGCAGCGCCGGGCGCCACCTGCACCTCAACGATGTCAGGCCCGTTGAAATTCTCATCGTACTCGTCTCTATCTGGGGTGACTATGGCCACCGAGAACCCGGCGTTCTCCACCAGCAGGACGACCAGACGCTCGTGCCAGAGCCGCTGGGCGTAGTTGTAGCGTACGTACACAAAATCGCCCGCAGTCAGGCCGTAGGTCGTCGCAACAGGATGAGCAGCCATCTCGTCTAGCGGCGAGCCTGGGCCGCCGCCGCTGCCTGCCGCGCCTGCCGCCGAGCCTCCTCAGCCACGTCCTCGAGCGCGGGCGGCGCCGGGGGACTGACCACGTTGGCCCGGGGCAGCGGCAAGGCCGTGGCCGCGGCCAGGGTCGCGGGCGCCGCAGACCTCGGCGCGGACGGCTCCCTTGCCAGGCCGACCCCGCGCCGTCCAGCGAGGTAGCCTGTACCCGTGGCCACCGCGAGGCAGCCCAGCAAGAGGGGGATCGAGATGCCCTCCTGGTGGAAGGAGCTGTTCGGCGAGTACTCCAGGCTCGGGCACTGGAGGTGGGGAGCGCACTGGCACTCCGGGCAGCTGGGGCACTCCAGCGACGGACACACGCCACAAGTCACCACCGGCTCACAGGCGGGGCACTGCTGAGCGCCGCCTCGGATGATGAGTGCAGTGGAGACCCCGCGTGCGATCTCGCTGCCCACACGCGCGACGAACTGATGCATCGGGGTGTGTGACCCAAAAGCTTGAGCCGTAATAAGTACGGCAGAGAACAGACATTGCCAGCATACCGTCATGAAGACAACCATATATAGATATATAGATATAGATCCTCAATCTCCGAAGCTGAGCTGACATCTCACATTTCTAAGAAAGGCAATCAGGGCGCCTGTACAATTCTTTATTCCTCCGACGCGGGAGAATGGGAAGGGGGGGAAGGGTTCGAACCCCCCCGCGCCCTCAATCCAAGGGGGGGGGGGAGTCCGGTTCCACCTCCCCTCCCTCCAAGCGCCCACAGAACGTGAACGCGCTCGCTCGGACCTCCCAACAGGGCCCACACAGGCGGAAATTAGCGACTTCCCATCAATGGCGTTCTCGCCTTTTCGGCTTGCTGGCGCTCCAAGACGGCCCAAAAGATTTCCAAGACCAGACCGCCCCAAGACGGCCCACGAAGCCTCCAAGAGGGCCCCAATACGGCTCATGATGGCCCCAAGACAGCCCAAGAGGCGCCCAAGACGGCCCAAGAGGAGCCCAAAACGGCCCCAAGAAGGGGACCAGGAACCGAAAAGTCCAGCCTTCAGCCCCAAGAGGCCCGCCCCCAGGAGGCCCCCAGGAGACACCCAAGAGGCCCCACGGGCCCCCCAGATGCACCCCAAGAGGCCTCAAGAGGCCCCAGCACGGCCCCCAAGAGGCCTCAAACCTGCCTCCCGGAGGCCCCTGAGAGGCCAACCACGAGAACCCAACCAACATTCATGAGGCCTCTGATCCACCACCCACCGCCTCCGGAAAATGGCAGCCGTCCAACCGCACCGCAATGACAACAACACCCTGACAAATGACAACGGCGAGGCAATATGGGCCGGCGGAAGGAGCAAAGCGATTAATGAAGAGACACAAATCAAAGGGGTCCCTATATGTTCCCAAATTGTCTAGATGCTCGTCATCCCCTCCACTTCCCATGTTTTCCCACATTTTCCTAAGGATCGACAATTACTTGTGTCTGTGTGTTTCTTGCCATCCTGAGTGAAGCTGTTTCGAGTATTAGGTCGCAACGGTGTCACTATTCAGGCGTTGCTTCTTCGACCTGCAGCGCAGGGGCTCGAGGGTAGCCAACGGGCCGCCTGCGCGACGAGCACTGGCGGGGCGTCGGCGCTCCTGGGGCGGGGGGCGCGCGCAAGTGCGAGCACGCCGACAGGACGAGCATAATGTCGTGACACGTCAGGACACATCCCAGGAATACAAGAAGATCTCGCGGCCCTCGTCTCTGGAGTCCGCGCGGCAGGACAGCAGGGAAGCCTGGAAGCCTGGAAGTATCTGGGAGCAAATCCGCCGACCCTGTCGGCGTGTGTGAAAGGCTTTTCCGCTCGAGTCGGGCTTCTCCGTTGGAGTCGTCGTCTCCGTCCTCCTCTGTTCCATGTGCCAGGGCCCTCTTCCTCATACGCGCCGTCCAAAGCAAAATGAACAACATCGGAGTGAAATTGAAGGGAAGCCCCTTCCCTTTAATCCTTTCCCCGCGCCGGGGAGGGGGTTCAAAGGGAGATCCTGGGGGGGTCCCGCGGGGAGGTCCCAGGGGGGTCCCGGGGGGGTCCCAGCAGGGGGGTCCCAGCAGGGGGGTCCGGGGGGGGGGTCGCCACCCAAATATACGTTTTCCCCCGCGCCCCGGGCCCCCGCTCCAGCCCTGGCCCCTGGACTCGGCCCAACCCAGTAGGGGGCCGCAGCTCAGGTCCAGGACCTGGCGTCCCGGCCCCCAACCCCCGGCCCCAGGCCCCAGCCCCGGCCGTGGCCCCAGCCTCGGCCTCGGCCACGGCCCCAGCCCTGGCCACAGCCGTGGCCCCACCCCAGCCCAAGCCCCGACAGAGCCCAAGAGGTTCCCAAGAGAGTCCCAAGAAAGGCTCCAGAGCGCCAGCGTCGTCGTCGTCGCTGCCACCGCCGCCCCCGTCGTCGTCGCCGTCCCCATCCAGGGTCGGCGGCACCGGCCGCTAGGAGGCCTTCCCAATCATTACCATGTGCTACTTCTCGCTCCTCTGGCCCGACGGGAGCATCAAGAATATGATGCTGCTCGAAGCCGACGATTTCTTCATAGGGAGCGCCTCGCGGGAGGACTGGAAATGGTTTCGAGAATGTCTGGAATCTCGATTCCGCTTTGGGAAACAAAGATTGTGGAGCCGGGCCCGTAGACTTGCTAGAAGCAGAATCACCATCGGGCCCCAAAGGGCCACTGTAGGTATGGAGAAATAAATCCTGGAAGAAGTACCCCCCCTATCTGTGGCCCGCGGACGACCTTCCCGAAAGGATGCCCCACTTGAACCAGCTGAATTCAAGGCCTTCCGCTGGCTTGTGTATAAGTTCAACTGGCTCGGACGAGAAGTTCGTCCCGAGGCAGCGGGGGTGGCAAGTGTCCTGGCCAACCGACTGAAAGCAGCAACGACTCGAGACATCACCTTGGCAAACAAGCTTGTCAGACACCTTCGGTCCACAGCGTCAAGAGGCATAATTGTCTGGAAGCTGGATCCTGACAAAATGGTGTTCGTGTCTTTCTCCGACGCCGGAGGCGTGGGGGCATTCGACGGCCTGCTTGACAAAAAAGGCCTCCCGAAGATCCAACCCAAGGGGCTTGGATGGTGCTGGCCTGTGACCAAAGCTGTGCCGGACAACCAAGCCGTAAAGGCGTCAATCCTCGGCTGGAGAAGCTCCAAGCTTCGGCGGAAGGTCCCTTCTACCCTGGCTGGGGAAACCCAAGCACTTTCTGCGGCAGCGGCGGAAATGTAATACCTTCAGATCCTTTATCGAAACGTCGTGTTCGGTGACGTGAACGTCCGTGACCACCACAGGAGGTCCGGCCGCTTTTCTACTGTGCTGCGTCGTGACTGCCGGTTAGGCTTACGAGACAGAGAGATACATGTGTTGAACGCAAAGCCGATCTACGACACCATGGTGAAGGAAGGCAACGCCAGTGCCGAAGACCAGAGAACAACTATAGACTTGGCAATTATCTGTGAAGCTCTGGAGCAGGCCAACGGCAGGGTCCGTTGGATCCCGCATGGCAGGATGCCCGTCGACACACTTACTAAGGATGACGTCACCAAGTGTAACGCAGCACTGTTCGACCTCATGACCAGCGGGAGACAAGTACTAGTGGATGAGAATTCGGAAGTAGAGCGGAGACGAGATGATCCAGGACTCAAGAACCGTTCCCAGGCCGCGTCCAGGAAGATTCTGAACCAGACGGATATGGTTTCCTGGACGATTTCCTCCCTGTTCCTCCCGAGGACTCCGACGGTGACGTTGGTGGTTCCTCCTCCTTCCTCTCCTTCTCCCCTCCTTCTACCTGCCTTTCAACTCCAGTGCTGAACACCTTGGGGGTGTTCCAGTTAGCCAGTGCTGGGCGCGTTTTGGGGTTCACACCCGTGCGAGCACGTGCGTACAGACACCAGTGAGTAGGTCGTGTCTACATGTGAGTTCTAAACCTGCGGGGCATGTGGAAGCGCGCCTTATTTCGCCCTCAGGTTTAGTATGTGGACGTTGATCACTTGTTCCCGATAGTGTAGTACTGTCGCGTACTGTGGCAGGCACAGAGTGTCATTTGTGTACTGTTGTTCGAACGTTGGCTCAAGTCCAAAATACCATCGTCTGCCGCTGCTGCTGCCACATCGAGCCATTCAAGCCGTCCGCAGAGGCGCAGCGGCGTAATCCCTCGACTTCGGCAACGGCCTCAACGCGATCAGGGACCAAGCGGCGGACATCATCCTGGAAGAGCCCGACCTCTAGCTGTTCTACGGCCTCAGTGGCTGTGCAGTGGGGGGAGCAGATATCGGGGCGTGGCCAGCCGCGGCAATTACTGTGTCCGCGGCTGCGGCAGCGGCAGCCGCAGCCTCAGGCGAAGCCGGCAGCCTCGACGGAGAAGGGCCCGGTCCAACGCCTGCCGCCAGAAACCCACCGAGAAGACGGCAGCCGATGCAGCCCTCCAAACCAGCCAAGCCGATGCAACGAGTACGGCGTCAACCCCTGGGGCTTCGAGAACCATACGATATTCGAGCGACGCATCATCACAGGCCCAAGGCACCCCAGACCCCAGCCCGACACAGTGCTCGTCTGGCTGGGCGCCCTGCACAGCCTCTACGACAAGAGGAGTAAGATGGCCCAGGCAGCCTGCGACCATGTCGGCGGGGCAGGCGTCAGAGGGAAGGTAATTGCGGAGGCGGTCTCCCTCGCTACGGTAGGAGCCTGCAGGTACCGCGGCCTCTACTTCCCCATGTTCAGCACCGAGTCAGACTGCAGTTATACCTTCGAGGTATAGGCGGTCGCCCACGGTCGCGCTCAGGAGGTAGGGTCTCCCGCCTGGGGTGGCAGAAGGTTTCCAGCGGTGGGCAAATGAGCGCCGTCAGGCCTACCGCTCCAGAGGCGACCCCGACAGGCCCTGCCCAGGAGGGGGATACCCGTGGCGGTGATGATTCCTGAGCGTGAGCCAGCCCTCACTTTTTTCCCAGCGTTCGGCTCGCGCACACCCATGGCACGGGCCAGGCGCTCGAGCGTGGAAGGCCTGATGGCGGAGCTGGCCAAAAGCACGCGAAGCCCTGCTGATGAGGGGGGGCTGCTGTCAACAACCCGTGGGTACTCTGCTCTAGTCCTACTCTACTCTAATTGAATATCCTATGCTAGACTCTACTCGAATATACTCCGCTCTGCTCAAATCAACTCTACTATACTCGTGACCACGCTAACGTCTCCCCCGTACTCGACTCTACTCAACCCTACTCTACCCTACTCTCCTCCAATGCAACTCTACTCTACACTACCTCATTATACTCTACTCTACTTCACTCTCTACTCTACTCTCTTCTCTACTCTCTACTCTACTCTCTACTCTACTCCTGCACTCCATCATATTCATACTGTACTCGATCCTGCTCTCATCTACTCAACCCTTTTCTTCGCTGCTCTGCTATGATATACTCTAGCATACTCCTCTTCTACTTGACTCATGCACTACTCTACCCGAACTCTACTCAACTCTGGTCTGGTATCCTCCAGTTTGCTCGACTATACTCATCTACGCTCTCTACCCTTCTCTACTCTGCGTTTCTCTCCTCTACTCGACTTCTGAACTTGACGATTCGTGGCCGATTATTGGGACACCATTGGGATAGCCCCCAGAAATCACCGCAATCGCAGAGGGAGCCACTGCGGTAGTAGGGGAAGCCACTGCAACAGCAGAGGAGACCATCGCAATAGCAGAGGAAGCCATGTCCGTAGATTCGGGGAGACTAGAGCGGAGGGGGCAGTGGACCAGTTCTCTAGGGTAGGGATAGAGCTGGGAGTTATACAAACAAACCTATTTAGTGAAAATGATAACACCACTTCCAACCACCGATATTCCCACCCACCGTCAAAACTGCCACCGAAATATCCCGCATGGCTGCAACTGTCAATTCCGCCGCCCAAGAGTAAAATTGCCACCGTTCTGAGAATGCACGCTGTCAAGTCTACACCAAAATCGCCGCCCTCTGGAGATGGATCTGCCATCGTACGGCCCTGGAGAGCTAATCAAACTGCAATCGATCAGCAATCGACCCCGCGGAAATCACATTACAAACAAGTTCGAAGAGAATAAAATGAACGGTCTGTGCTCTGGTCGCTGCATCCGCGAATGACCACCCAGCTCGAAAAACGAAGTACGCTGGTGGAGCAACTAACCATGTGCACAGAGGGCAGTTAGCAAAGAGAGCAACAACGAGCGGGCAAAATTACGACGATTAGCTACGAGTGCGGCCAGAGATATACCCAAGGACTGCCAGAGGCAATACATGCGCGACCACGAATCAGAGTCGACAAACATTTTTGCGCATGGGCGTCCTCCTTGAGCTCGCAGACGTCCTTCCGAAGCTGCCCCCAGGAGACTTTGTCGGGGGAGCCGTAGCAGCCCGGGAAATCTCGTCACCCAACGATGTGGGTGGTTTCCGTGGATTCAAGGATGCCCTGCCGCCCATTGTCTCCGCGGGCTCCATCGGCTCGTCCTGGGGGCAACGTTTTGCGAATCAAATCTGCGATAAGTGGTTACGGCGAGTACCATCTGAACACACATCCCGAGAAACGATCGATAGAGTAGGCACCGCACGTCAAACATTACAAGTGTGCGATGTATGTTTCCCCGTGTCGCTGGGTTTCCGCGCTGGGCGTAAGGTCCTTTTCCCGCTGCGAGAAAAGTCAGCACTTAGACGCATGCCTGCACATTGAACACTGGTATGCCACTGGCTCGACACAAATAGACTCAGCGGCTCAAGTGATGACGAGACATGCTGCCCGACAAGGCCTGACAAGAGCCCAACGTGAAACACGTCACTCATGAAAGCGTTCAAAGTACCACCGCACATCGATGCTTTCAAGACGTGGTTCAAATACTGGTCACGACCGCGCACACATAAAGGCCTGGTTGGTCACAACCACGCGCTCGCAGAACCGAACCGCAACCACGTGAAAAAGGCAGGCGCGGGCATGCGTGCAAACACGCACGCGCGGGCTGTGCGCCGCTCCAGAAGTGTTCCCAATCCTGATGCGTGCAAATCGCGCATCGGCCGTCATCCTTTCGCACTTGAACGAGGCCGGCCCCCGAGACGGCGAAGAGGGCCCCAAGACGGCCGAGGAAAGGCCCAAGACGATCCAAGAGGGCCCCAATGCGGCCCCAAGGGAGCCCAAAGGCTGCCCCACAAGAGCCCAAGACAGCCCAAGACCGCCTGCGCTCCTCATAATGCGAAGACGGGCGGTGTCACATGTGACGGTTTTGTGCTCGAAGGGTCAGCGCACAGCTTGTCTCGCATGCCCCGTGGTGGAATTGGCGCAAGCACCTCTGATCTGTATAAATCTGGGGGCGTGTCCAAGGTCATGGGGGTCCACAAGTGTGGGCAACGGAGATTCGGTTAGGTGCAATCGTCACGATTGGGTGCCACTGCCCAGGCAGCGGTGGTCGGTGCAACGCCCTCCTGCGTTCCAGAAGGCCTTACCCCAGCAGCGCATCCCATTGCCCTCTCCCTCGCTCTCTCTCTCTCTCTCTTTCTCTCTCTCTCTCTCTCTCTCTCTTTTTCTCTGATGTTGGTGTGTGTCTCTCTCTCGCTCTCTCTATCTTTCTCTCTCGGTCGTTCTTCCCCTATCCCTTTCCCTGATGTTGTTGAACTCTCACTTCTGAAGAATAATTATTGTTGATCCCCATGGTCCGGTGCACATTGTTTTTTCGATTGAAGTGCCCTTCCCGGGGCTCGCACCTTGTTTGTCATCAGGGAAAGTCTTGAGGGTAAAACTGTGTCGTTGGCCCCCGGTTTACAACAACAGCGGCTCCCGCCTGAGACTTCCTCACAATTTAGCCAGGACCCCCACTCCCGCCCGAGACTTCCTCGCATTGTATTCAGGAATCGCGCTCAAGCGCCGCGCTCCCGACACCCAGGCACCCAGGAGTCGGGATCTCGCTGCCCTTCGTGGCTCCGTTGCAGCCCTTCGTGGCCCCTTTGCTTTGTTTCGTGGCCCCGTTGCAACCCTTCGTGGCCCCCTCGCTGCCCTTCGTGGCCCCGTTGCAGTCCCTCGTGGCCTCCTCGCTGCCCTTCGTGGCCCCGTTGCAACTCTTCGTGGCCCCCTCGCTTTGTTTCGTGGCCCCGTTGCAGCCCTTCGTGGCCCCCTCGCTGCCCTTCGTGGCCCCGTTGCAGCCCTTCGTGGCCCCCTCGCTGCCCTTCGTGGCCCCGTTGCAGCCCTTCGTGGCCCCCTCGCTGCCCTTCGTGGCCCCATATATGTGTGCCCTTCGTGGCCCCCGCTCGTTCGCGCCCGTGGTTGCCCCATATGCATGCCCTTCGTCGCCCCGCTGTCGCCCTTCGTGGCCCCCTCGCTGCCCTTCGTGGCCCCGTTGCTGCCCTCAGTGGCCCCGTTCTTGCTCTCCGCGGCCCAATCCACGTGTGCACTTCGTGGCCCCCGCTCGTTCGCGCCGGTTTGGGCCCCATGTGCTTGCCCTTCGTGGCCCCGCTGTCGCCGTGTGTGGCCCCCTCACTGTCCTACGTGGCCTAGTTGCGACCTTCAGTGGTCTCATCGTTGCCTTCTGTGGCCCCGCATTATCTGCCTTTCGTGGCCCCCGCTCGTTCGCGCTCTTCGTGGCCCCATACGCATTCTCTTCGTGTCCCCGCTGTCGCCCTTCGTGGCCTACTTCGTGTCCTTCGTGGCCCTGCTGTCGTTCTTTCTCGCTCTCGCTTTCGCTCGTCGTCGTCGTCGCCGTCGCCGTCGTCGTCGTCGTCGCCGTCCTCGTCGACGTCGTCGTCGTCGTCGTCCTCGTCGTGGTCGGTCCACTGTTCGTCCCTCTGGGGGTCGGGTCAACGGTCCGCGGCCGCCCCGCCGATCAGCGCTGCCGCTGGCCAAGCCGACGGTCCGCGGCCGCCCCGCCGATTGCCGGGGCCCGGCCTGCAGGGAAGAACGGTATACCCCCCAAAAAGGGCTCGATCGAAGACGGAGAGGGCGGGTATCTGGGGTTTGGGAAATACGCATTATTGGACACTCGAGCAGATAAGGGCGAGCAGTGTTAAAATGATTGTTGCTGTTGTTGTTGTTGTTGATGTTGTTGTTATTGAACTTGTTGTTGTTGTTGTCTCTCTCTCTCTCTCTTTCTCTCGTTAGGTCTTTCCCTCTCCCTCTCTCTCTCTCTCCGTCTCTATGTATACACAGATTTCGATGGTAGTGGGTGTTGGTGATGACAGCGGTGGGTCGTGATGACGGTGGGGTAGTGATGGTAGCACGAAAAAGGATGATGTCATGATTAAAGGTGATGACGGTGAGGATGAGGATGTCGATAATGACGGCGGTGACGGTAGCAGTGACGAGGATGATGACGGAGAGGATGAAGATGAAATTTATGACGGTGATGGCAGTAACGTTGATGACGATGATGACGGAGATGACGGTGAGGATGAGGATGAAGCCAAGGGTGAACATGAGAAAAGGAGGGCGCACAGACCTTCAAACTTGCAGGCCTGTAGGCGCGCCCAGACCTGCAGGTCTGAGCGCCTCCTAGAGGACACGAGCATGACAATTGTTTCGCTGTGTATCGTAGTATCGTATAAACGGTGTTCGCATGCATGCCATCCAGGGCTTCAGAATGCCTTGGACGACCCAATAGACCCCAACACCACCCAAAGAAAAGACAGAACGGCCCAAACAGGGCACAAGACGGCCCAATGAAGCAAGACAACGGCCCAACGGAACACCAGAAAGGCCCAAGAGTAGACCGAGACAGCTCCAAGACTGCGCAAATAGGCTCCAAAAGAGCTCCGTAAGGAATAAAGACGCGCGGTGTCACATGTGACGGCCTTATGGATGTTGCACGACTGCGCTGGCACGGTGGCGGAACTTGCCTGATGCAGCTTGGTATCTCGCTGCGCATAGAGCTGCGCCATGCGCCTGCAAGTTGCGCCCTTGCTTCAGGGATGGTCGCGCACGTTATCTGACGAAATCTCAACATCATGGATTTCAATTGAGTGTTGTGCTAGTGCCCCCGGAGGAATTGTATCATCCAAGATGTGATCATGCCAGGTCAGCAGACTTGCGAGTGTTGGAAAACTGGACGGGCGGACTCCATCCACGTGCAGCCTGGCACTGGCGCTGCAGCGCCAGTAAAAGCTTCACATATGCCCTGGAAGCACCAGCCCTGAGGCTGGAACCAGGCGTGTCCATCGACTATCCCTCTACCCCGCACGGCGCGAGATCCAGCGAAGCATCAGACCACTCATGGGCATTGGGCCGATGAACGTCTGGCGGCGCACAATGTTTTCCCATGCGAGAAGGGAACGCGCACTCAACCCAACGTCTGCAGAGCGCATCCCGACTGCCGCAGCCCTGGACACACCTCTGAATGAACGCCGCCAGGATGTTCCACTTACCCCCTCAAACCTCGCAGCCACCACTTGAAGTAGGCCGCACTCCCACAACCCTGTGTGAAAGGACATGGGCACATCCATTGTGTGGGGAGATGTTCTGGAGAGGCCATGTCGATCTCACGCCCTGCATGTACAAACAAAGGGAGCGAGAAAGAGAGAGAGAAAGAGAGAGTGAAGCAGAGAGAGAGAGAGAGCGTTTACATTGGATGTAGAAAGCATCTGCAGCGCGCATAATAAATCCTTGAGCTGGGCTTGAGCGGCTTTGAGGACTCCTGTGGAGGTGCCCTTCAGCGAACTAACCCTGGTCGCCATCCCAGCCATGCACCTCACGTTCCGCATCGTCTTCACCTGAATTGGACCCGCAAAGATCTGCACATTCATGTGTTGTTATGGAGAGGCACTGACGCATGCAACACCCCCATTCTAAGTCATACCTTGGATAACTCAAACTGGGTCGAACTTCCAGATCTTAGCTGATTACTTCTGAGAGCCATGAGCCAAACGATCTTAAAACAGGCCAGCTCGGACAACGACGTCATGCACAAACAACGGATATCAATGAAAAGACCCTCAGCAGACTTGTTCATCTCTGCATTGTCCAGAAAACCGTACATTCTGCCAGAAAGCCCAGAAAACAAAAACTCTGAAGGTGACTTCCGATAAGCCCCTGGTGGCAGCCAACACGCTTCAGGAGTTACTCAAGACGGCTCAACAACATCATCAAAGATCCTGTTTCAGATGCCCGTGAGCCTCCTGAAAGCGCCGACAGAGCTCCCAGAAGCCAGAAAAGCCACATCCGTTCCATCCGAACTTTCACGGGAGCTCCCAAACAAACGAACCTGGCATGACCCTCGCCGAAGAACTTACTTCTTGTCTGTGCAAAGCAGTGCTTGCATTTGAAGTTTTACTCCACGGTTCGGAAGGTCTGTGCACAGAGCAAGATCGCGCCCCCACCCCTACCATGCGAGTGCGGGCTCATGGAGAAACAAATCTCGGACCCCCCAGATCCAGGAGTCGTCCTCTCGACACGGTGCACACTGAATCACGGACGAGGTGGCCGATTTTGGGAAACCTGGGGACACTGGCGCTTCACCCTGTGTGGGGGGGACAATGAGCGACTAGTATAACAACGGCACCTGAAACCTCTAGAAACTTCTCTGGCCAGATACACTCCATGGTCAATACCGGCAGTAGTTTATTTTAGTTCAAAAGATTCCGCCACCGTGCTTCTGGGCACGGAGTGGGCGTGTCCTCAGGTCCTTTGCCCAATCCCCTGAGCCTCAGTCCTCAGTCCTGAAGAGAGTCTTAGGGCCCCGGGCCCCAAATTCTCAAATCTCCCGGGCCTTCCCGCGTGTCCCCTGGGGTTCCGCGCGTCTTGTCGCGTGAATGTGTTGCGTCCCAGAAGGCCCCCAAACGGGCCAAGTGGGCTTCAAGAGGCTACCAAGACGGTCCAAGAGGGCCCTGAGACGCCGAACGATCGCCCCAAGACGCCCGAGATAGGCCCAAGACGGCCGAAGAGGCCGCCAAGACGCCCCAAGAGGCTTCGAAGAGGCTTCCCAGGAGGGGCCCGAAAACCCAAAATCGTTGATGCTCCATTGGTGTTTGAAGGATACTCGTTTTTCCCAACCATCCTGTGGTGTTGGGTCCTCGTTTTGAAGAGACGTCGCCCCGCGTTCCTTCCTCCTCCTCCTTCCTCCTCCTCCCCTTCCTCCCCCCTCCTCCCCCTCCCACACCCATTCTGGCACACCCCTCACACGTTTCGTGGCCCCATAGGGAGCTCCACCGAAGGCCCCAGTGGCTGCGCCCGCATGCGGTTCCACCCCCCATTCTGGCACACCCCTCACACGTTTCGTGGCCCCATAGGGAGCTCCACCGAAGGCCCCAGTGGCTGCGCCCGCATGCGGTTCCACCCCCCATTCTGGCACACCCCTCACACGTTTCGTGGCCCCATAGGGAGCTCCACCGAAGGCCCCAGTGGCTGCGCCCGCATGCGGTTCCACCCCCCATTCTGGCACACCCCTCACACGTTTCGTGGCCCCATAGGGAGCTCCACCGAAGGCCCCAGTGGCTGCGCCCGCATGCGGTTCCACCCCCATTCTGGCACACCCCTCACACGTTTCGTGGCCCCATAGGGAGCTCCACCGAAGGCCCCAGTGGCTGCGCCCGCATGCGGTTCCACCCCCCATTCTGGCACACCCCTCACACGTTTCGTGGCCCCATAGGGAGCTCCACCGAAGGCCCCAGTGGCTGCGCCCGCATGCGGTTCCACCCCCCGTTCTGGCACACCCCTCACACGTTTCGTGGCCCCATAGGGAGCTCCACCGAAGGCCCCAGTGGCTGCGCCCGCATGCGGTTCCACCCCCCATTCTGGCACACCCCTCACACGTTTCGTGGCCCCATAGGGAGCTCCACCGAAGGCCCCAGTGGCTGCGCCCGCATGCGGTTCCACCCCCCATTCTGGCACACCCCTCACACGTTTCGTGGCCCCATAGGGAGCTCCACCGAACGCTCCAGTGGCTGCGCTCGCATGCGGTTCCACCCCCCATTTCGGCACACCCCTCACACGCTTCGTGGGTGGCTCCATGGGGAGCTCCACCGAACGCCCCAGTGGCTGCGCTCGCATGTGGTTCCCCCCCCCCCATTTCGGCACACCCCTCACACGGTTCGTGGCCCCATAGAGAGCTCCACCGAAGGCCCCAGTGGCTGCGCTCGCTTGCGGTTCCACCCCTTGTTTTTTTTCGGCACGCCCTTCACGCGTCTCGTGGCCCCATAGGGAGCTCCACCGAACGCCGCAGTGGCTGCGCTCGCGTGCGGTTCCACCCCCAATTTCGGCACACCCCATCACACGTTTCGTGGCTCCATAGGGAGCTCCACCGAAGGCCCCAGTGGCTGCGCCCGCGTGCGGTTCCACACCCCATTCTGGCACACCGCTCGCACGTTTCGTGGCCCCATAGGGGGCTCCACCAACGGCCCCAGTGGCACTGCCCGCTTGCGTCCGCCACCACCCAACACAGCCCTTGTTCCCTGCGCTTCACCCACCCAGAACAGCGCTTCGTAGCCCTATAGGGAGCTCCACCAAAGGCCCCAGCGGCACCGCCCGCATGCGTCCGCCACCACCCTGCGCAGCCCTTGCTCCCTGCCTGCGTTTCACCCACCCAGTACAGCGTTTCGTGGCCCCCATAGGGGGCTCCACCGAAGGCCCCAGTGGCACCGCTCGCATGCGTCCGCCACCACGCAGCGCAGCCCTTGCTGACCGCGTCTCACCCACCCAGTACAGCGTTTCGTGGCCCCATAGGGAGCTCCACCGAAGGTCCCAGTGGCACCGCCCGCATGCGCCCGCCACCACCCAGCACATTTGCGGCATTCACAACTGCATATGGTTGGGTCCTTCGCCAGGCTAATGTTCGCCTGGTTTGCTTCTCGACGCTCCAAGACGGCCCAAATGTCAATGATAATGTGTATGAACCATTTTTTTTTTCACGAGCTGTGAGATCCGCTCGGTCGATCAATATGAAATGGTGCCAGTCGCACCACACACGCACAGCTGATGAAATCAGGGAAACCCCAGTCAATGACTGGAACACATCTGATAACTTGTTCTCGCTGTCTGGCTCAAAAAGGGGATCCCCTGATATCGTTTGAGAAACAAACGGCAATGGAAATATAAACATGGCTTATCATACAATACAAGACTCCTCAAGCCCTTGAAAAAAAAAGGGCATTCCACTCCTCAGCTGCGTATCTACTGCGTTTCGGGCTGTCCCAAAACTTTCATCTTCACACATAATATGAACTTTGCAGCTTCAGAAACTGGAGATCGGCAGCCTGCATAAATAACCTTCTGCGTAAAAGAGTTGTGCCCTGGAAATCACATAAAAGGCTCGGCCCAAACCAGCCGAACAGCAACCGTTCGCACATCAAACATGAAACGAAACAAAACGAGTTTGAACAACCATCAGCTTTCCATTGGGGTCCTCCGAACCAGGTCTGCTTTGAGCCCCGACACAGGGAGGTTCATCTCACGCAAAATGCCTTGCAACGCATACACCAGCATAGCCTCGAGCTTCTGCTGTACGTCCGGTGTGTAAGGCATGCGAATCATTCCTAGATCGTCCATATTCCGTGCAGCACTGCCCGGTGACAGTTTGAGTCCGTTGCTCGGTGGTCTTGCAACGATCTCCTTGGAGGAGCTGGCTGAATGTGAAACTGCATCCGTTGTCGACACCGACTCCGGCTTGAATGTCTGAGAGGCAGTAAACAGAAGTACGCAGATCGAAGCCATAAAAACCGCACCGAATGAAACTCCCGCTGCAAATGTCCCAGCTGGGGACGGCAAAAACTGAGACCATTGATCAAACGGCGCGGCCAAAACGCACGTTGAAACCTGTTGGCCGATCATCGGTTCAGTTGGTGCTACTGCTGCTGCCGCTGCTGCCACCTGTGGCAACGTTGTACCTGAAGAATAACTGCATGCCAAAATGCTGGAAAACAGAGCTGCACGCATGAACCGAGAAGTCCTAGTAGTCATGGGTGTGCTCACTTCCGCCTGATAAACCATCTCACGCACATCGATCCTCGACATATCGTCATCTGCACTGTAGTCCTTGGGCCTGGCGTAGTTGGCGTTCAGGTAGTCGGCATCCTCCTGTAACTCAACTCGCTGAACACGCTAAATATCGTCCCAGGGGTCGGTCAGCTTCCGCTTCCTGAGTGAGGGTGCTCGGGGATCTGGTCCGAAAGTCCATAGGTTCTCGTGAAAAACTCGATATTGGCATGGGGTGTCCATCTTCTTGGTAAGGCCGTCGGCCAGCTGCTGCTCAGATCGTGCCCATTTGATGCCTCCATGCTGGCACTCCTGCCTGATGACAGCTGCATCCAAGGAGAGCCTCCGATCTGATAGGTGAACACGCTCCTTGACCACACAGTCCCACAGAGAACGACAATCTGTGACCAAAACACCCTTCCATTCTCCTGCTGCCTGACGGTACTCATGTCCCAACTTGTTGGCAAAAAAAATATCAGCACACACGGCACGCGTCCAGAATGCGACGTCTTGAGCTTCAGAACAACTGTAGGCCTCCGCCGAGAGGGTACTGCGTACTGCACGACCAATCCGTCCACTTGACCAGGCCAGTAACATGCATGGGTATAGCTTGTTGTGGTCGTCCATCATAGCACCATCTCCCACCATGATATAAAACCCACGCTCGCTCTTGTGGTTCGGCATGTTGTCGAAAGACGCGTCGTGCGATTCAATGATGACCGATTTCTCGAAATCAAAGCCACCGCGAAATATCATCTGCATCTTCCCCTCGCGCCGGATAGAGCGCACAAGACTGCTCATGTCT